GTAAGTACACCTCAGATGCTCCGGTGGTAACAGTTTGATATAATATCCTGTGAGCAGTAAGGGGAAGGTTACAGGAACGGAGTCCACCACGTTCTTTCGGGAAAGCAAGTTACACTGGTAATGTAGTATCCGCAATAGGCGAAATTAATAAATTTAGCTAATATTTTTAAGTAAAATGTTCTTTAGGGTGAAATATTTTAAAAAATCAGGTGCTTGTAATAGAAATGTCTAAATCTATTCGTTTTACGGTGAAGTGTTCCAATATGCAAGGTGTTTAATTATTCCGAAAAAAAGTGAACATTTACTTTAATTTACTGATAACTTACTTTAATTCCTGTTTGCAGGGATTAAATTCATAATAAGTAGCATAAAGATAAATCTGACTGACCCTGGTACAGTCTACAAGCACAGTTAGTACTATCTTTCATAGATATTTTGCATCTATCTAAAGCCAGGTGGCAGTAGTATTTTATTATCGGTTAATTATGTTGGATAAGACACATATTAGGTAAAAGGACACAGGTACAACTAATGTGACATTTTATTGTGGTAATGTTTCGGTCTCCAGGAGCTTTATCAAGCCATTACGACATATGTTTATTCTTGCAAGATATTTTGGTGATAATGGGTTGACTGGTCTCAGCTCCCTGAAATTCTGTAGGTTTGCGTCTCGTATCATTGCATTTATAATCGGCTTCTTTCTTCCCATGACTGAAAGAAAACTTTCTAAGAATGCCAGTGTGATGTTGAACCCAAAGGAAACCTATTTTGATTCCATTATTTATATATTTATATATATATACCTGTGCCTGTTTTCAGACATTGGTATGCTTCAAGGGTTTCAGACATATAGATATACCAGCGATTTATACTTAATGTGTTAAGATAGATGAATATATATATAGGAACACAAGGAGTATAACGTACAGCCCAGTTCGGAGGACGAGAGGTCAAGTTTTACTGCGAAGTCCACTCCCTGGATCATTGTGTCAGTCTCACACCAGTGATGGCTTCCTTCCAGCATTTTTTTTTTATTTTATTTTATTTATTTTATTTAGAAATTTAGCATACATACAGAGGTACAAAAAAATACAGGTAAGAGCAGCATGCCAAAGCCACTTATATGCATAGCATTACGGGCTGGCTTAAAATTAACTTAAGATTAACTAAGCAATGATGAAATCAGTGATAAGACATTATTGTAAACAGATAACTATAAAATACAAATGAGTATTACAAAGACAGGTCATATGGTTGCATGCATTGCTGTTCATTCAGTAGAATGGAGTAGTTGGTAGTGTATTTGAAAAAAAAATAACAAAGTTAGGTTTAACATTTGTGTGATATAATTGTGATTAACATTTTAGGATATACAATTTATAAGGTTCAGTTATTCAGTATTTATTTGGTTTTGAGTGAGTAAGTGAACTTTGAGAAGAGACTTGAATTTATAAACAGGTAGTGTTTCTTTTATATTTACAGGTAATGAATTCCAGATTTTAGGGCCTTTTATGTGCATTGAGTTTTTGCATAGTGTGAGATGGACACGAGGAACATCAAAGAGTGATCTGTGCCTTGTGTTATGGTCATGTGTTCTGTTGAGGTTGGCAAGGAGATGTTTGAGGGGAGGGTTAATATCAGAGTTAAGTGTTCTATGTATGTATAGGTGCAGTAATAAGTATGGATGTTTTGTATGGTGAGTAGGTTTAGTGTATTGAATATTGGTGGAGTGTGCTGCCTGTAGTGAGAATTTGTTATCATTCTAACTGCAGCTATTATCTTATTATATTTACCTTCCTGCCCTTATCGCATTGTTTACTCCTCATCTTCAGCCACTTATTTTATTTCCCATTCTTCTTCCATCACATTCATCTTTCTCACTTTCATCACCGCCCTTCTTCATTTTCTCCATTATGACCGCCGTTATTATTTCTATTATCCCCTTTCTCTAGCCTCTGTTATTTATCTTCTTTTTCTCGTTGTTCCGTTTTTTACAAATTTCCTTCCTGATATTCTATCGGGATCCGAATAAACGAAGTATTGGCAACGCAGATAACGAATATCCGGATCCCCGCTGGCTCTTCCGACAGTCCGGATATTCTCTCGTTATCCTTCGACTGTTCACCTACTCGACTGACTGAGTAACTAACTGCTGACCCACCCACTGCTAACAATGGTAGTTGTTGTTTTTCCCCTTGCATAGTACTGGCTGGGGTAGTAATGGTGACGCTCGTTGTTGTTCTTTTCTTCGTCAGGACACAACGTCGTTATGACGAGGGTCTCAGTTGCACGACGCCGTGTTCAGTTGTGCGACGACCTGTTCAGTTGTACGACGGTCAGTTCAGTTGCACGACAATCTGGTCAGTTATACGACGATATGTTCAGTTGTACGACGGCTTATTTAGGTGCACGATGACTTGTTCAGGTGCACGACGACTTGTTCAGGTGCACGACGATTTGTTCAGGTGCACGACGATGCCGATCAGTGTTTCCTTCAGAGTCATCGATGGAGTGAAAAGTGGAGGTATCGTTGTGTCTCTTATTTATGTTGGAAGATTCCAGCCCTACGGCTGGGACTGAAGGATTCCAGCCCTCTCGTTGGGAAGGAAGGATTACAGCCCTATGGTTAGGACTGGAGGATTCTAGCCTTATGGCTTGGACTGGAGTATTTCAGCCTTACGACTGGAACTAGAGGATTACAGCTCTGTGGCTCGGACTGGAGAATTCAAGTCTTATGGCCGGAACTGAAAGAGTCAAGCACTATGGAAAGGGATGGAATATTCCAGCCCTGTAGCATGTGTTTAGAGCAAGTCGCTCCTGTCTGTCCCAACTACTGAACCACTATGACAAGGCCCTGGATGCTGTAGAAGATAAAAAAAAATGCAGATGTAATATACACATATTTTGCAAAACCTTTGACAAGTGTGACCATGGTGTTACAGCTCACAAAATGCGTGATAAAGGAATAACAGGAAAAGTTGGCAGATGGATCTATATTTTCCTAATAGAACACAAAGAGTAGTAGTAAACAGAGTAAAGTCTGAGGCGGCTACGGTGAAAAGCTCTGTTCCGCAAGGCACAGTACTCGCTCCCATCTTGTTTCTCATCCTCATATCTGACATAGACAAGGATGTCAGCCACAGCACCGTGTCTTCCTTTATAGATGACACCCGAATTTGCATGACAGTGCAAGACACTGCAAGACTTCAGGCGGACATCAACCAAATGGGCTGCAGAAAACAATATGAAGTTCAATGATGAGAAATTTCAATTATACTCCGATTTGGAAAATGTGAGGAAATCAAAACTACATAGAAGTATAAAACAAATTTCAACCACACAATAGAGCGAAAAACTAATGTAAAAGACCTGGGAGTAATCATGTCAGAAGATCTCACCTTCCAAGACCATAATATTGTATCAGTTGTATCTGCTAGAAATATGGTAGAATGGATAATGAGAACCTTCAAAACTAGGGATGCCAAGCCCATGATGACACTCTTCAGGTCGCTTGTTCTATCTAGGCTGGAATATTGCTGCACACTAACAGCACCTTTCAAGGCAGGTGAAATTGCTGACCTAGAACATGTACAGAGAACCTTCACGGCGCGATTGTGACTAGACCTACCTGGAGTTCATTACCTTTGTAAATTGTGAGTTCATTACCTTTGTAAATTGTGAATTCTGTAACTTGCTCAGCTATCAAAACTTTGAGGCCCAGTCCCTGGACCCATTATGTACCTCTGTAATCTTTTGACTACCGCCCACAGGATGGGTATGGGGTGCATAATAAACATATTAAATTAACTAACTAACGCGCATAACTGAGATAAAACACCTCAATTACTGGGAACACTTGACGTTCTTCAACTTGTACTCCCTAGAATGCAGGCGGGAGAGATACATGATCATATACACTTGGAAAATCCTAGAGGAATTAGTACCAAACGTGCACACGAAAATCACTCCTTATGAAAGCAAAAGACACGGCAGAAGATGCAACATTCCCCCAATGAAAAGCAGGGGTGTCACTAGCACGATAAGAGACAACACAGTAAGTGTCAGGGACCCAAGACTGTTCAACTGCCTCCCAGCATACATAAGGGGGATTACCAATAGACCCCTGGCTGTCTTCAAGAAGGAACTGGACAGGCACCTCAAGTCAGTACCTGACCAGCCGGGCTGTGGTTCGTACGTCGGTTTGCGTGCGGCCAGCAGTAACAGCCGGTTGATCAGGCCCTGATCCACCATGAGGCCTGGTCTCAGACCGGGCCGCGGGGGCGTTGACCCCCGGAACCCTCTCCAGGTATACTCCAGGTAATAGCTGAGACTGAAAGATTTCTGCTCTATAGTAGTGACAGAAGGATTCCAGCAATATGGCTTGGACTGGATTATTCCTTCCCTATCTTCGACTGAAGGATTCCGGCCTTTTGGCTTTGATGGAGGATTCCTGCCCTACCACTGGGACTGGAGGATTCCATTGTTATGCCTGAGACTGACTTATTTCAGCCCTATGCCAGGGACTGGAGGTTTCTAACCCTATTTGCTGGGATTGGAGGATGCCAGCCCTATTGTTGGAACTGAAAGATTCCAGCCCTATGGCTGGGGCTCAAAGATTCTAGTCCTATGGCTGGGACTGGAGGATTCTAGCATTATTGTTGGGACTCAAGGATTCCAGCCCTATGTCTGGGACTGGATGATTCCGCCCCTATGGCTGAGACTAGAGAATTCCAGCCATATAGCTGGGACTGAAGGATTCTAGCCTTATGCTGGGACTAAAGGAGTCCAGCCCTATGGCTGGAACTGGAGGATTCCAGCTCTATGGCTGAGACTGGAGGATTCCAGCTCTATGGCTGAGACTAGAGGATTCCAGCTCTATGGCTGAGACTGGAGAATTCCAGCTCTATGGCTGAGACTGGAAGATTCTTTTCTCCTTTTTATAGCACCGTGATTTAGGCTCTGTTCCGAAGGGGTGTTGATTCTGACTTCACGTTTTAACA